AAGACCAGAAACGGTTTTGAAAACTTTTGTCACGTAGTGATCGTCTTCTCAATAGAACATCTTTGATAATGTCTTCTGGCCAACCAGAATCAAGATAACGGCGTGGTGTTGTTGCAGGAAGTCCCGACGGAGAATACTTTTGCTGTAGTACATCTCTATATAGGCCTACATCGATACAACATTACGTATTGATAGAAATCAACACGTAATGAAATAAGACCCCACGGTTTGATGATGGATAGGTGTGTGGGCTGTCTTTCATTTTGACACACAGAGCAATGGGAGCTATCCACCCTTATCCACAAAGTAAAGTAATTCACACAGCCTCTTCCCTCTTCTCTCTGTGAGGAGCAGCAGGTTCAGCTTTCGGAACAAAGTAACAAAAAACTAAAATGGCTTTCTTTTTTTCTTTTTAAATATGTTGTGTAGTAATAGATTTATTTATTTTTCTTCTCAAGAGAGTACCAGAATGTGTATTTTATGTTAGTATTTCAAAAAAAGTACCAGATCTCTGGCAAACTCCACATGGGTCTGTCTGCTAGACTTCTCCCAGGACCTTGACCTNCCCTGAGTCAATAAGAGCACCATGAGTAAAAACGTTGTCTCTGACTTTTACCTGGATGCGGGTCAGGGTGCGAGGAGGAAAGTCAAAGGAAGAGATCCGGCTCACCAACGTCGTCCTCTTTATTGGTGAGCCTCCTCTTTACCGGGCAAGCCGCTTGTGGATGTCCGCGCTGCCCGCAGTAGAAGCACAGACCCTCCTTTGATCGAGACTGACGTTCTGCCATAGAAAGCTTGGCGTGGCCTAACTGCATTGGCTCCTCCACGGAGCCAGGGGGCGCTGTTGTCCGGAACGCAGGTGGTGAGCGCCTCCTCTGGAGAGGCGGACCAACCGCATCCTTGAATTTATTCCTTCTCCTCTCCGCCAAACGATTGTCTATTCTTATTGCCATGGATATGACGGAGTCCAAGTCAGCGGGCAGATCGAGAGGCGCCAGCTGGTCTTGTAGGGGATCCGAGAGACCGCTGACGAATGCGTCAAACAATGCAGCGGAGTTCCAGCCGCTGTCGGCTGCAATAGTCCGGAACTCAATAGCGTAGTCAGCCACACTACGCTGATTTTGCCGCAGTTTAATCAGAGCCCGAGCTTATTCCCTGCCCGGGGACGTTTGATCGAAGGTTTTTCTCATGGTGTCTATGAAGTCGTCCAGAGACCCACAGATGGGGGAGCCTCGGGACCATTCTGCCATAGCCCATGTTGCTGCTCGGCCGGAGAGATGGGAGATGAAAGCCACTTTGGAGTCATCCGTGGGAAAAGCAGCCGGTTGGTGTCGATAGTGTAACTCACACTGCACGATGAACGGCCGGCAGCCTTCCGAGTTTCCGGAATACTTTTCGGGTGGAGCCAGACGCATGGAAGGAATGTGCGGCTCAGTAGCCGGGTTGGGGTTGAATCTGGTCGCCGCTGAGACCAGAGGGGTCGCGGGAGGGGAAGCAGCCTGCAGTGAGCACCTGCTGAACCTCAGCTGCCAGCTGATTCATTTGGGTTGTCACCGATGATTGTAGTTCCCTCTGGCTGTTGGTTAGGTGCTGCACTCCGTGCTTTATGGCGGCCATCTGCTCTTCTTGTTGCCCAAGACGTTGGCCCTGAGAGCGGATGGCGTTCTTTAGCTGGTCTGAGTCGGCTGAGTTCATTTTAATGGCCAGTTCGTACTGTCAAGGGGGTGAACTCAGAGGCATGAAGTCAAATGCACAACTCAAAGTCAGACTCGGGTGGTGTTCAAAAATAAAGACTTTACTGGAATTAACACAGTAACAAAAACAAGAAACTAGATGCAATAATCGTGATCATGAGAAAACAGGATACGACCATGGAGCAGGCTTGAACGTGGTCCTGAATGAGAAACGAACTGGCACTGGACAGGTGGGGGCTAACACAATATATACCCAAGGTGAGGGGAACAGGTGGAAACAATCAGGGCGGGGAAACTAATCACGAACACAGGAGACACATAGGGGCGGGGAGCATGGAGTTCTGAAACGAGAGGAGGAATACTTATTACAATAAGACAGAGGGGGCACAGAACAAAGGGACATGACAAAACTAATATAAAGAATAGCCTTTCATGATAAGTTTCCGAGACATGACAACTACAGAGATAGCAACCACAAAGAGACACTGACCCTTACTTCAAAGACACTCAAAATGACTATACAAAGAAAAGAAAAAAAAAACTAAAGATTGCAAAGACAGCACACACAAGGACCATAAAGGGACACAGAACAACTGCAAGGAGACAAAAGGACCACTGTATAGTGAGAAGTCAGAACACGTGCGTTTGTTTTGAAACATAAACCAGGAATGTAGCTCTACTGTAGACACTTATTTATACATTAAAACTGAATGAAGGGCTGCTGGTAAGCTGTACATGTATACATTTAAATATAGATGTATAGGCAATGTATCTGCGTCTGAACTGCAGCCAATTGTCTAAACTATTTTTGTTATCCTCCAGCCATTCTGCTGTATCTTGTTTCTCCCCTTCTGGCATTTTTGGTTCCTGGTCTCAAGAGACTTTTAGTAAGCTCTGGAAGTTTGAAGTAATGTAACACTCAGATAAGGCCGGCAGCCAGCTCCACCAATCAGAAGTCACGCATTAACACCCGAGGCAATGCCAGCTCAGAGGGCCTGATCCAAGAGGGCCACCAGCCAGCACACACTTCTGAAATGTACTGTATTGCTTAGCTTGGACTTTTTAGTACGCATAAAACTGCTTGTTGGACATTTTTTTTATTATTTGTTCAAAGGGATTTTGACCTCTCAGGTAGGGAGGTTAAAGCTACACCAGGTAACTCTCCTCCAAATGACGACAATGATTAACTTGCTATCCCTCTGCAATCATGAAAAGCTTCTTCAGTATACTAAACACATAATGTTTTCCAACGTTGGAAAGAAAGCTAGCCACTGAATATTAGGAGTTATCATTTCACTTTTTTCCCATTCCTTTCCATTGATCCATCCTGATACAATAATTTAATTTGGACTCAATTTACATATCGACAGGTTTCTGCAATTGGCTAAAGCTGTCTTTACATGACGAGCAGAGCTGACGTTGCCGTTGTGATGGAGAGACCCATGTTACCTCACTATGCGATACCCTCTGCATCAAGTACTGATCAAAATATCCGCCAAGCACTAGGCAAAATGTTCAAACCAGGAGCCTTATGATCACTTAGGACTGCTGTACTTCCTGCGGCCTTTGCTGCAACATTCTGTGCTTTTGCCTTTTTTTACACTTGTCCTCAAATAGTTTTACCCTTGCCTGACATGCCCCCACACACTTCACCCCCAACACTGTTGCCCTTGAACAGGCCTTTTGTGCTGCATTTGATGTCTGTTTTGGCAGGGGAAAGACAAACAGCTGAGCGGTGCTGTCCACTCCGGCAGCCTCATACCAAAAGTGTGGCGTTGATGGTGGTGGGACTGAAATAAAAAGGACTGTCACCCATTGGAACAGGTCTCAATAATTGAAATATGTAAACGTGTACACTTACCGCAAACACGAATGTTTATTTTAAAGATTAAATATTAATTGTGATTTAAAAATATTCCGGCTCTGCTATATCTCCTCTGCTGCCTGTGACATTCAGGGCTGACCCCAGACACACACAGCTTGAGTTCAGAGACGTTTATTCTGACAGGGTACTATGTGACAACTATCTCTCATTCACACACATTACGTTGGTTTTTTTTCATCTCAGCTTACATTTAACATTTGTTTGGGCCTAAACTTTCTTTTGATATACATTCATGGCCTACACATGACAATAATAATTTCTCCTTGGGGGGCCAACATTTATTATTATTTTTTTTTTTTAAATGTTTGTACGCAAAGATTAGTTTTGTATTTTCAACTTCAAAACAAATGTTTTTTTGCATTACAAATTATACAGATACTTCCAAATTGTCGATCTGTTCACGCAAATAATATAAAGAAAAATCTGCCTCCAGACTCATCTCAGTGTCAGTCCACACAAACTTTTATATCAACAGTCTAAAAACAAATGCCCGCTCAGAGGCGTTTTCAATAGGTTTCATGTCAAAGATATTTTATTAGTAAGAGGAGAGAGGAAGAAGGATAGGCAGCCTCTTGTTCTTTTATTGCAGCTTGGATATCTAATTTGTTGAGGCTTGAAAGCGCATATTGATTCCTGTAATGCCAAAATGTGTGTGTACAGACGTTCTCATTACACATTATCGGATGCACGCACTCAGAGAAATCGGATTCATTACATTGTTTTGTGCTGATAGGGTCAGAATTTGAGGTGGGTACAGTCCATGAGGTCGTGATTTAGTTTGGGGGGTGTGAGTGCTTCTTAATGCCTTCCATAAATGATCCTCCTGGTGCAATATGGGGCTGATCATTGCATTAAAGTTCTGAGAGCTACACAGCAGAAACACAACAAGGGGGTAATATCTCATTCCTCTGGAGTGGCATCACGCGCCGTCTGGAAGCAGTGATGACCAGTAACTAAGTGCATTTACTGAAACTCACACATGTGCAGATTTGAGGTACTTATACTCTACTTGAGTATTTACTTATCATGTCACTTAATATATTGTACTTTTTACTGAACTACATTTTTGTTACTGGTTTCTTTAATAATAAGGACTTTTGCTTAAGAAAAACAAGATTTGTAAAAAGCTGATGTTTTGTTTCAAATTACAATCTGAACGATAAGACAATCAATCAATTAGCCAATTGAGAACAACTAATTGGCATCTCTACACATATAGGTCATATTTTTATTTAATTTGAATGATTGTAATTTTGAGTTTTCTTTTGTATTTTTATAAGTACATTTAGCTGATTATACATACTTACTTTTACTTAAAAGTCCCATGTCATGCTTTTCCGGTTATTACCCTTCCCCTTGTGTGTTATTAATGTTTTTATGCATGTAAACGGTGTGCAGAGTCAAAAACCCTCAAAGTACACCCTGTGGGGAGTAAAACTCTAACACAGAAAATACCTCCCCAAAACGCCTCGTTGGAGATTTCTCATTTACTTCCTGGGTATTGCTACGTATGGATACCCAGTAGCCATGCCAAGCGCTATGGCCGCACCCTCTGCCAGCCTTTCACGAAAAACAAAGCTTCCCAAAACCTTTCAGCAATTATTTCCGGATATGTACAGCGTAAGGGACTGAAAAACGATATGCCATATTTATTATGCTACACAAACATTATATTGCAGTTTTGGTGTCGTCAACTCCGTTATCTAATATGCAGAAAAAACTGCAAAAATGCATCTATATGATTATTTTTAGTATTTTCGATCTTTCCAATCCTGACGAGATCTCTCCCTCTCCCTGTCTGTGTGCGAGGGGGCGGGGCAGTTTGCACACATGCGGCTGCTACATGCAACACACACACACACACACACACACACACACACACACACACACACACACACACACACACACACACACACACACACACACACACACACACACACACACACACACCCTGCTGTTTTTGGACAAGCGGGAGATTCGGGTACACAACCTGTAAGTATTCATTGCTGTTTGTGTATTTATGATGTTTAAAACAAACAAGGTACAGTATCTACCACGACTGTTTAAATGGGTAAACGTTTTTTGGACTACGTTGGGATCGCGGAGAAATGCTCTCAGCGGTATAAACCTCTTTCTTACTCAATATCAAGCCACACTTATTGTTTTTACTTCGGCTGTGAGTGTTTGTGTGTACTCAGGATGAGTTTCGCTTGTTCTCGCTGTATCTATCTCCGACAGGGAAGCCCTGTATGCTCCTCACAGCAGCTCCTCACGAGCAGCTGCACGTCGTTTGACCAATCAAGAGCACACTGGGCTCACAGGAGGGGGGGGCGAGCTCCAACAAGCCGTTTAGGACAGAGAGTGAATACCGGTGAATACACATACTTTACAGAGATGCTTTATCAGAAACCAATGTGAGTTTGGAAAATTCCATAGTATAAATCTATTTTAGTATACCTCAGCAATGGAATTATGATCAGTAGAAATGGCCATGACATGGGACCTTTAATATACAGACAACCTGATTGCAGTGTACACTTACCGACTACGTCGAGCTGGTAGGTGTGATTGATGCTGCCGTACTGGTTCTCCACCACACAGGTGTAGTTTCCCTTATCAGAGGGAACTACCGATTCCATGATGATGGTCCACACATGATCCCGGACCTAACAGTTTGGAAAGAGCAAATGTTAGAGTGACTGGCGTACAAACAGAGTACAGATAGGACTGCTGCTCAAAGTGACTAAGTATCCAAACATACGGTTTATGGTATTAAACAGCACAGGGGATATCCCAGCTATGTACACAGATTAGTTAATTTGTTGGCAGCTACAGATGTGTTAGTTCACAAAAACCACTCACTGCAGGTCAGTTTAGGTCCTGAGGGAAATGGTAAAAAAAATAGCACTTAATGGTGTTTAAGAGCAATCAGAACTTAAATTCAACTCAAATTTAAGTAACGTAAATGAGGCCAGCAGCTAGCCCACAGAGATGAAGCTAAACTGCAATTCTGCATTTTACATTAAAAACTTAAGAGAACTTGTGTTCTCTCCATCTGCTTTTACCCTATATGAATTGTCGTAAATCAAATGTTGTTCTGTTCAAAGCGACGGCTAACAAGGTGTGATGTGATGATAACAAGATAACACACTACTCCTTCTTCCTGTGACAACAGCCTATGTTACAAACAGCAGATCTTTGTCCTACCAAACAAAGACCAAAGGAAAATGGGTACATGTTTTATATACATCTGCCCCAACTTGTCTTATTAGCGCCAACTGATGTCTGGCTCTTTTTTCCAAGACATGTTATAGTTTTTCTTCCATAAATCTGCCAAGACCGGCAGTGTGTGATTACCCAACGAACCTCTGAGGCAATGGCAACATCAAACATGCATATACACAAGACCGAGCCATACAGTTTCCCTCATTTAGCTAAAACGTGATGAGGGAGTCCAGCTGCCTGCTGCCAGATGTGTTGTGCTTGGCTACATATACATGTGGTCCACATTATTCCCTCCCTCCTGCACATCTCCATGCAGACGATATGAACAATAGAAGCACAGGCCATAAAAGCAAGAGTGTGGGAGGGATGAGAGACGTCCCCGGCCGCTGATGCAGACCTTTGCACCTTGACTAAAAAAAACAGCAGCCAGATGGTTAAGTGTGCTGCCTGGCTGGGTGGGGACAAGGGGAGCAGGCAGCTGGGAGGAAACTCTTAAATGTGTCCCAGCTGGGGAGGGAGATGGGCTGGAAGCACCAGACAGGGCTGGACTAGTGTACACCTTGATAGGAAGAGCAGATGAAGGAAGGAGGGGGATGTTTCTTCGAGAACATGGACATACATCCCACACCTGTGAGGCAACTGAACAAAGATTATCACAGAGAAGTTGATGTAAAGATACTTAAAGCAACATATTTACAGCCTACTATGACATTATGACGGTTTTACCAAATATATTTTTTTATCAAAAAGGTCATCTAAGGTTTTTAAATAAAGCCCTAAAAAAAAAGAATCTGTGGGGCTGATGATGCCATAGCCAGTAAGTGGTGGTGTAAAACAGATCCGGTTTACATCCATCACCTGCCACACCTCTGCTAAGTAAATCCAGAGACAAGAGTAAACTGTGTTATCAACAATTATAACTTAGCAGTTTACTGTATTAGCAGATGGCTGCGCATTTGAATACAGCTTGCCAGGAAATGGGCAGACGTTGACGAAGTTATGATAGCATACAGTAAGTAGTATATAGAGGCTGTGAAACAACATTTTTATCTTTTGACACTGACCAAAATTGTTAAAAGCCATACTTTTCGATACCATATTCCAACACATAAGAAATCAATCTCATGAACGTTAGTGAGCTAATAAACATGGAGCTTGCCTGTACGATAAGAAAAACAAAAATCTGTAACGTACTACATATTGTCGTAATTTATTTTGCATTAAAAATTAAATGTATAAAATTGGTGTCAAAAAAGGGTATCATTCAGGGATCAGACACAGGGACCAGATATAACTGAACAATACCCAGCCCTCATATTGGTAGATTTACTGCTGCATGGATGAAATTACAGAAATGTCCTGATACCCAGAATGAGGACAGCCAATGTAATCTTCAACCAAACAGGTGGCTAGGATTGCCCACCTGGAGGTATTATAGCTCTGCCACGACTTCCCTTTTTGTTGCATTAGGTTTCATCTTGCATTGTTTCTCAGGTCAAATGTGACACTTGCCTCCGCTTTTCACTTGCAGGAAGTGTTTCTTACTCCAGGGGAGGGGGCGGTGGTGATCTAATGTAGAGATGAGATCACTGACACATCTCCCCTCGTACTGAACGGGCTTAGAGTGATTCAATAAGAAATGCTAAGGAGGGTGTAGTGTCACTAAACATAAACTGAACGGAAAACATTTATAAAAATATTTTCTGTTACCTTGAAGCCCCCGATGCGATGGTCTCTCTTGAACTCCCTGCCATTCTTGTACCATTTCAGGGTGGGATTTGGGTTTCCGCTGGCCTGGCACCGAAACTTCACCGTCTTACTGGCTGGGACAGCGTGAAGCTTTTTTTCCATTTTCTCTGGATGAGCCCATTGTGGAGCCATTGCTAAAGAAGAAGACACAACATAAAAATAAATCAGACAAGTAATAAATACTAGCTTGTGTTTGTAAGGATGCAAAAATATTGTAGGTACCTTAAACCTCAAGCTCCATTTGAATCAGGGCAATAGCTTTATTGTAGGGTTTTCAAAGGCAAATTGGTCCCAGTGGGAGGGGCCACACTACGAGTAATTCTAAGGCCCCGTCCACACGGAGACAAAAAATCACAAAAAGTCAGCTCAAGAAACAAAAACGCAGGAGATGCTGTAGTACATATGCCGGGCCTGATGGTTGTGGTGAGCTATAGATTTTGCACTAAAATCTGTATCATGGTCAGTAGCGTCTGCAGCACGAACGCAACCCTGTGATCCGCCGTTGTTGTTGTTGGCGAAATGCATCATCAACGATGCGGGGGTGAGGAGAGGTGGGGAGAGGCGGGGCTATGGCGTCATCGTTTTCAGGAAATTATCATATAGGGCAGGGGTGCCCAACCTTTTTTGAACCGAGAGCTACTTTTAAAGTTGCCAGTCTGCCGAGATCTACCAGTCCAAATAGAGAGGCGTAACCATTACTGACAGCCTACTACCAGGTAAATACACTTGTATAAAACTTCTACTCGTATAAAACTGACCTTTGTACGATTAATACTTCATAAAATAAAAGTATTTAACTGAAGTTACACAACAGTGTTGTTGATACAGAGTTGGAGTTTATTCACACGTCACATACTACAGTGGGTAATGTTTTCAAGAAACATTGAACAGTGCTGCCATATATGACACAGGAAAAAAAGAAAAGACTCTGAACCCTTTCTTTGCCATTATATAAAAATAGTGTTGCTACAAAAGTATAAATTAGGCTTACTAATAAGACAACTCAGATCTGAAGCTACACAGGAATCTGCTGCCAAAGTGCAATAAAAAAGACAAAATTAATAGAATCAAACCCTTTTTTTGTTGCATTTTAGTAGAGTATAAAAAGAAATGCCTTTAAAATTGGATGCAAGTAACACTAGTTTCTTAACCTGAATTGATAATAGACTATAATCAATTTAAGTTTGGCATTCTTATACCATTTTGTACAATAATTATAATGAATAAAGTTCAAACAAACTAAAACGTACAGCTGATTAATAACGGTATCTAACTTGACTTTTTATTATATCAAAAACCTGTTGAAATGCTACTGTTATTTTTACTGTCCCCAAAAGCGCGTCGGCAGCCTCCAGGAATGCTTCTTTCACAACTTCGCCGTCTTTGAAAGACTTGATGTGTTTCTCAAGAACGTGACTGACACAATAAGATGCTATGGTAGCAGCCTTGCTCTTGTTGTTGGGCCTGGTGAAAATGGACTGCTGTGCATTTAGCTGCCCTTTCAGGTCCCTCCCCTTTTGGGAGCGTAGGGCAGAATTAGGAAGGAATTCCGTCTCGTAGCGTTTGAGCACTGTTTTGAAATGCCGCTCCTAAATTACCCTTCTTCGATAAAGCCACGCTCGCATTGCAGATGAGACAGATGGACTTTGAATTGGAATAGATACAACAATAATCATCCTCCCACTCGGAGTGAAAATTATATATTTTGGGCTTTTTTGCTTCTGCCATAATTGCGGTCTTGTGTGTGTGGACTGTCACTCCTGTGGTTGACACGGACAACGTCAGCGAAATAGTGCCCACTGCCCACCAGCCACGCCCCGACACATGGGGTCACGCCGGCCAATCACAAAGCTTTGATGCGTTCAAGTGCATTATTCTGGCACAGGAAGATTATGTTATAGGACATTAACGATAAAACAGAATATTGTTGTTCTATTTTTAGACACATCTCGCGATCGACTGGGAATCTCGATCGACTGGTTGGGCACCCCTGGTATAGGGCGTACACACGGAGCCTACCCACTTTGGGAGCCGTTATCAAAGTGTATCGGATTCGGGCTCCGAATCCGCAATAGAGTACAATAGAGAACGTTAGCGGATACAACTGATATCGTCTCCGTGTGGACGAGGCCTAAGACCCTGACAAATGAATTGGCCAAGAATGATCTGAAGAACCTCGAATAGAGAAACTGGGCCTTTCAGGGGTGACCAAAATAATGAGATTTCAAATATCACAGACTGAATTACGTTTACATTGTAGTGTGGCTGGATGAAATCTGCTGGCAATTGTTTTTTGTATTCCCACCTGACCAATTTCGGGACATAATCCCCACTAACTAACCCGGACACATTAAGTTTAATCAACCAACAGACCAGACTCGAACTTTATGCAGTAAAGTAGCTCAGTAATCAGGACTGAAACAATGACAGACTAAGGGGGAAATTGCTGCATGTGTGTATACAAGAATAATTGATAGAGATATATTGTTAGCACAGTTGCCTAATTTTGTTTGAACTTTTAAAACTGTTCCACCGTACAATGAGATTTGGCAAAAGAGAGAAACAGTGGAGTGACTATTGCACACGTGTCTGTGCACTGTTATATTTTCTAGTAAGCTTAACCAAACCTCTGGGGAACCTCTAGGTCAACCGGTGCATCAGTAGTGGATGGGCTCACCCTCAAAAAGAGGATAAGAAGCAATGAGGAATGTCTGGTCTGTCTTTCTTGGCCGGTCCCACCACAAACCAGACGTGGTTTAGCGGCAGAAAAGGATGGATGTATTACATAATGCATGTTATTAAATTATAGTCACAGTGAGTATGTTTCCTTTCCTTAAAAGGGGACCTATCATCCATAATGCACTTTGTGATGTTTTATACATAAATATGTATCCCCGGTGCGTCAGGGAACTCACGCAGCGTCAGAAAATAAAACCCTCTCTCTTTTCCTCCGTACCCAAATCTTTTAAAAACAAGGGTACAACGAGCGGATACAGATTTGCTGCTGATCTGACGTCAAATCAGCAGCGGACCCACAGAAAATTGCTATCAGAAACAATGCCTGACATGTTTTGGACGTAATCTCGTCTTTGTTTACGTTAGCAAGCCTCGTTAACAGCACGCGTTTAAAAAGCAGGAAATAAAAAAAGGAACTCACCTTGTGATAAACCCACAAGAGAAAAAGCATTTGAGCTCCATACTATTTTAGAAATACCCGCAAGATGTGGTTTAAACAGGATGGCGTTTTATCACAGCAGAATTGAACTTTGGCTCCGGTAGAATTCTGATCAGGCATTAGCTCCGCCTCCTCTTTTTTTTTTTTTTCAAGCTAAGGACCCAAAATCTACATTTCTCTAACAGGGCTGCAAGAGAGGGGTATGAGCAGTATGAGGAATGGCTATAATGGGTGAACTGTTTGGTATTTTAAGCAAAAAACTTCAAAGACATGTTTGTATAGGTATGGCCCTACAATATATTTTTCCAATATAGCATAATATGTCCACTTTAAATAAAAGTCGGAAAAAAATATTTTCTTGAGAGGTTTTGGCTGTGCCTCGGGTGGGTAAAGTCACATTGTGTAGGTTTAAGGGAAGTAAAACAAGTAAAGGTCGTCTTGGTAGCCATGCTTGGCAGCTGCTGGTCTCTCTGTGGGCAGAGTGGCCAGATGATGAAGCTCGAGTGTCTTAATTACTCTAAGGAACAAATTGGAAGTCATCTAAGGTTAACCACTGTTAGTCACCACAGGGACATTCTTCATGTAAAAGCTGTCACCGAGGTGCTGAAAACCCTGTGATTCAGAGAAAAATCATTCACAGAGTGTGACCCACACACACATGGCAGACCCATAATCGAATCATAAAGCTTTCAAATCACTGACCATTCATGAAAATTACTCACAACCCTGTGACTCAGGGCCAGCATTTGTTGCAGAGGCATTAGTACGCTGAAGAGATGAGCACACTTACGCAGAAGCTTCTGACTGCCCAACAGTTTGGCTTCCTCAGACGAAGACTCTTCATCTTCATCATCATCCTCAGATGAGGCCAGGGTATCAACTAGTGAAACAAAAAGGTACAATTCTATTTATACAGACAGTAACACAACACCAAAAACAAGACTAGCATTTCAGTCGTTTCTTTTCTTAAAGTAAGGATACAAACTTTGGGAGTTCATACATACACACTGAATAAAAAGGCGACTGCATGTTCCGTTTTACATTAATCATACAGTTTTAGTACAAAAATAAATAAATAACAGAATGACTTGTATGGAACAGGTTTCGCTGGAAAACAAACCGTTCTTGTCAACAATTAAGTATAATGGAGTTTTTAACAATAATTTGTTAGTTTAAAAAATTGAATTGAAAAAAAACCAGGGCAGAAAATCTCGACCGTTTTTTTGATGGATGAATCTATAAAAACATACATTACCAAGCATTTCACTGCCCCTTTAATAAGTAATGTCAACATTTTGATTCCATTGCATGACCATTACCAGAATTATGTACTTTCACACTGGAGATGTATTTAGCTTCTCAGTGATCAAACTACACCAAATCTGCTGCAATTCCTTTTCTGAGACGTTACCTGTGACGTTGAAGTAGACGCTGTGGTTGCCGAAGGTGATGCAGGCGTACAGACCAGAGTCCGTCAGCTCCACAGTCTCGATCTCCAGCTGGCCGTTGCGGATGCGTGTGTGTTCTCCGTCCACCACAGACACATGTTCTTTGGTCCAGTTGACTACACTGTCTTTGGCAGAGCAACTCAGATCCAGACGATCCCCGAGATAGAGCGTGAACAGCTCCGTTTGCGTTTCCACAGAGACTGAAGGGGAAAATGCAGAACATGGCTTTGTTATTCGAAAGCTCAGTAATATCATCTAAATAGAAACACAAGCAGGGCTCAAATTGTTTTTATCTTTGGCACAAACAAACTGTGAGAAATATAAAATAGGATAACCACCAATATCGAATAACTGGAGGGGTATATAGTATGTAGCGAGACACAAAATGGGGCTGTATCTGTACTATAAATGGTTCAAAAAGTACTTCAATCACAAAACAGGGACACCAGAAAAGTCCTTTCATGATTTTCTCCCAGCAAACCACATCTCTTACCTATCCCTTAACTAATTTTCTATATGATTTAATTTAAGGCCCTATCGTCAGGCAGGCAAGGAGCTACTTGGGAAAGGAAGGCGAAATTCAATTATGAGGATTGAAGAGAGGGGAGGCGTCACAGAGCGAGACACCTGAGCCCCCCTGTGCTAAATGACTACATAGTCCGCGAGGGGGAGGGGGTAACCCAATTAGGGTTAGACACGTTGTCCATCACAATAGTGTTGTTTGTCTAGTTACAAAAGGTAAAGATAGTCACTGGACAACTAGCTGCACATTCTTGCTCTAGGATCACACATCCATGGCAAAAATAAGCATGAAGTTCCAACAACGTGCAAATAACATCCTGGTTTTAAAGGACATTAAAACATCTAACATTATGAAATGTTAATAATTTTTTAGAAGCCAAAACATTTAAAATAATGCCACATCATTTACGAAATCCTGAGATGTTGTCTAGAAATGCCTTGAATTGGCTAAACTAAAAAACTTTTGGTATGCAAAGCATTTTTTCAGAGGAGATATTTAAAATTTGAAGACATTTACCTTCAAAATGCGTTCCCCCCCTCTTTACTATTGCTGACACTGTTTTAAAGTAATATGAGGCAAACAGAGGGAAAAAAGCCAATCTTCCAAAGCTTGAACCAAATTATGTATAAAAGGTTTGTGCCTTAAATTATATTGATTATCAAAATAGTGGTAGATTTTATTTTCCAACTAATAGTTTTAGCTCTACTTGATATAGTTGTGTTATCACCACAAAGTAAACCCCTGTGGCAGAACTATAATGTGAAATCATTTTACTCGTCCTCCTTTCCCAAAGTCCCCCCCGGCATTTAAAAACTACACAAAAAAATTGAACTAGATAACCCAATGTAAAAGCATAACGTGATCATTCTGAATGGTTCTCAAAGCACACAGTGTTTGTACACACACTTCCTTACAACAGGAAGTACTTCTGTGTAGCATAACCTAAACACAACATCAGCAAACCTGCCTAATCCCTCCCACCATCACAACAAAGGCCTCCGAACAATACAGGGGAAGAGGGAGCGGGCAGAGAGAGCAGAGAGCATGTGCACGGGAGCGAGCGAGCGAGGGCCTGCAGCGGCAGGTTCTAGTGCCAGTTGCTATGGTGACCCCACTTGGGCCTAGTAAAGGTATTTCCTGGATCACATATATCTGACAGGCCCTTAATCCCAGCAGGAAAGGGGGCCAGGGGGTAGGATCAACTTTCTCCTCAAAAACAAAACCAGAAGGGGGAAAGCAGAAGAGGCATTTAGTGATGCACTATCTAACCAGGACACAGCTTTAAACACAACCCTTCTTTACGGGATTGTGTGTGTGTGCGTGTGCGTGTGAGGGGGGGGGGGGCATGTTTCTGTCCCAGTCTGCTCTAAATGGAGATGCCACTGATAAGACTGTGTCAACATCCCAGCTGTTAATCTGGCTGCAGACATCATAAAACGCCCATAAAAGCTGTAAAATGTGCCTGTTGCTTCATCGTAGGCCACAGTCAGGAGCATTTATGCTTCTGTGACAGCATACTTCTAAAACTGGAGTAACATATAACACATGTAGTCAAATTAACCCCAGTACCATAAAAAAAACAAAAAAGAAACAGCTACTACGTCTATGATTAACTCGCTGTATAAATATTAAACTAACAGATAGGGCTTAGTATTTGCAAGTGGACGATACAATATGCATCATAATACATGGAATACGATTCCCTGTATGATTTAAATGAAGTAATATTTAGCCATTTTTAGGAAAACTTTCACAGTATACAGAACACAACACCATATTATTAACATCTCAATATCAAGTAATGGCAACATTTCCCACTCATGTTTGACGTTTTAACCACAACACGAAATTAACCATTGTTTGTAACTTATCTTAGCCTTTGAACATTAAACTTAAAATCAAAAGCGTTTTTGAGAATCCATACAATATCAAAAAAGATTTTGCTACACATGTTTTCTGACAACCCTACTAACAAACAGCAACACACTTTATCACAAAGAAGTAAATTCATTTCAACTTCTCGTGCAGAGTTAAGTGCCAAGTTTCCAGCATTTCCTTTGAATTTAAGTATGTTTCATCTCACTTAATCCTCCTGCCGCTATGATTGGATTAAAATGGATTAAGCACCATATTTTCTGAAAGCAACCCATCTGGAAAGTTTTCTTACAACCATTTGGGGGG